CCCCAAAACCCCAAAACCCCAAAACCCCAAAACCCCTCTTCTAACGACCCTAATTGAAGTAAATTATTGCCAATGTCTTTTAATTTTAGATGTGTATCTCTTTTCAGCAACTGCTGATTTCTGCAGAATCAGCTTGCTCTTGAGGATATCCTGCTTCTTTTTTGAAGCAAGCCGTCTCTTATCCTTGGCCATTGCTATAGTATAGCTTTTAAGAGCAGAGGGATTTAGGTTAATTAGCTGATTCATTTCTCGATTTTTTAAATCACTTTCTCTTGGAATCGGCAAGGTTTCAAATCTTCCTTCGACTCTGGGTCTCTCAGCTGGCTCTATTTTTGGAGAATGAGCATCTAATGAGTGGTTTAGATCAATTTCTTCCTGAATTAACTTTTTTGACAAATTTTCATGGCTCATTAGCTGGGAGTTTTGGAAAGTTTTGGTCTATATTACAGCATAAATTGTATGAAGATCTAGGGGCATATCAAGACTTTGGGCTTACCTGACGAGTATTCTTGTATTCTACTGCTGAGGAATCACTGTCATATATCTGGCCACTAAGTCCAGTGAGTTGGTCAACACTTGTAGTGATGAAGTTCTTAGTTGTGTAATTTCTAGATTTAATGACATTCTTATCATGGTATTTCCTCTGGCTGTAAGTCTCTAGATCAAAATTGTTGCTCTGGAAATTTCCAGGGTAGTTACTGTTCTGGACAGTCGAGATACCCTTTCGAAGAGATCTCTTATTTTTCTGGATTTTAATGTTGCTCTTCTGAATCTGAATTTTCTTCTTTCTCTTTTGGCCAATGAGTTCAATGTCCTGCTGTCTATTAATAATCTGGCCTGAGACAAGGCAACCTGGGGAATATTCTTCAAGCTGCTTTGCGTAGCGATAAGTTTTCTGCTCTTCGACAGAGAGAGATTTGAAAATCTTTTTGTTCAGAGCAGGTAGTTCTGAGATGAGACCTGCTACCATTGACTTTCGGTCCTTTTTGCCTCTCTCGAACCCACTAGTAGCTAAGCTTTTAGTCGAGGACCGAAAATCTTGGGTCTCTCCAGACCTGCTTCTTTCCAGATCACCAGAATGGTGTTTCTGAAGGACATAGTTCTGGAAAGGTCTGGAGGAGCTAATTTCATTCTTGAGACGTTCAAGAATTTTCTCCTTTTCCAAAACTTGTCGTTGTCTATATTCTCAGGGGGAACTTACTGGTCGCTAACTCTTTTGCCAGAGAGATAGGAAGTATAGTTCTTCGCTGGTTTGGGCTTCCGATCAATTGTAATACCTAGGATAAGTCATTGTATAGTTTTACTCTGAATTTGAGTGACATCTTTCCTCTTATTTTCTTTAATTTTCTCGTAAAATTCATAACTATCGATGAACTTTTGGGGATTCTTGGAAAGAGCTTTGGGGTCTGGTTCTTGAGTTTTTGATTTTGAGTTATTTAAGCACCTTTTGGGCGGATTTTAGTACCTATTTTTAGGAAAAGCCAGTACCTTTTGCTTCACTAGAGGCTCGTTGTTGTCGATGGGGTTTGGAAACTGGGCATACCCATCAAGCTTGTCTGTTCTTGGTGTGTAAATATTAGATTTTCTTCCCTGGTTAAGGATACTTTTAGGGTATTTTGGAAGCACCTATTCCTGTTATCACTGAGATTTACCTTATTTAAAAATATCTGCCTTGGCAAGCCTGGTTTTGTAGTCAGCTTTGCCTGTTAAATCTGGGAAATATGATTTATTTGGCTTGATGCCTTGCTTGTTTCGATTGTCACGCTCCAGAATTGTGCCAGTGTCAGGATCCATTTCACTCATCTTGGGCTCTGACTTAACTCTATAGAGCTTCTGAGTCAGAGGGTCTTCATACAATTGGAATATGTTCTGAGCCTCTTTTGAAGAGTTCTCCTTGTTATATTTTGATAATGCTGCCATGGAAATATTCAATAAAATTATATATTTAGGGGTTTTGGGGTTTTGGGGTTTTGGGG